AAGCAGGACTGATTAAATGATGCATAGTCTGATTAAGACAGTAATTGTCTCCTTTACCATGAAGATGTATGATCTTTAGAGCTCACAATAATGAACCTTTTTTTTGTTGTGTAATGACAAGTGCACAGAAAAATAGGGCCAGGCTGTGAGAAGTCCTCACTGGTGCCATCAACAACATCCACCACCTTTGTGTGCCTGCTCTTTTTCTCTGGCTTTGCCTGGAAATGAAATGTAAGGGACAGCACCAGGCAAAGAAGGTGGTAGGGTAACAGGGAGGTAAGGATGTCTCAAAAAAAAGCAGAGACTATCTAAATGAAGGTACATCCAAGTAGTACCATCCAGCACAAACAGGGGAGGGCACCAGCTAAAGAAAAATAAGAAAACCAGAAACTGTGAGCGGTATAAAAAAGTGACTCCAGGCCAAATACATTGGCTTAAATGAGCCAAGTAATGCTGCTCCATAAAACGTTCCTGAAATACCAGAAGAGCCATATACCATCTTCTTATACAGAATATGAGCACAGAGCCAAGGAATGGCAGCCCACGAGCCCTTCCTCAGGGGAGTGGAGCTCTCTGCTACTGAGGCAAAGGGAGACACAGAAGGTTTCCTGCTCCACAGATGGAAACCTGGACTACAACTTGTTCACAGCAGCAGGTGACCCCTGCGTGCTGCTGCTATTTCAAATACATGTAAGGAAAGTCTCATCTATGAATGTTCCTATGAGCATTTTTTGGAAGCTCAGTTGCATTTTTAATCTGTGCCTTACCAAACACCGAGGAAACAGACTGCAGCAGTTTCCATAAAAAATTAAGGGATGTCTCTCTAGAAAGACAGGGGGCTTTATATAGCAATGCACACACACACATCCTGCTGCTCGTCACCCAAACACTGGAAGGGCTTCTGGGGATGTCAACCAGGCTGCAGGATTTCTGTGGGAAAGCAGAAGTATTATCACTCTCATCAGTGAGCAAACCCATGTATACAATCAGATTTTGGTAGGTGGATTTCAGACAACATCTGCTATTTTTATTCTTTTTCTTAATTAGGGCCACAATAAATCAGTCTCAAATTTGCCCATTGCCAAAATATTTAAGTTCCAATGCACACGTCTCCATTGTACATTCAGTGCTTCCCATTCAAGCAAAGAACAATACCTGCCAATACACATTCGTGCACCTCACTTATAAAATCACAATGGAAATTACCAGAAGCATAAAACAACTATTATGATAAATAATGAGCTTTTTAAAACCCACATCATACACACAGAGAGAATCAGAGACACTGATCCTTCTGTGCTGAATGTTATTCAAGAGGATTGTCAGAGCAATGCTGAACAGATCAATTTATTTCTCTTTCTTCTCTCCACTTAACTGGATTTCATGTACAAAGTAATTGTTCCTATAAGAAACCACCGTTGTCCATGGCTTTCGAGGTTCAAAGCCTCAGACCTACATCTTTACTACTATTCGGGTTTCCATGGCAACAGATGATGGTGCCTTCTGAAAAAAAAAATATATACTTTAATATTCTACAGTAAGTGCCCCAAATCATTCCCGTAATATTAATGAAAACTGGAGCACGTGGGCCTGCACGCAGAGCATAACAGACTTTAAAAGTACAATGAAACAAGAGAAGCAGAGCTCAGGGACTTGCAGGAGGGCGGATGGTTAAAAAGGACTCTGCATTTGTAAAAGAGAAGGATTATCCCTCAGAGATCCACGAACGCCTTTATGCACACAGTGACCTTTCGTTGCCGCTGTCGAAAGAGGCAGTTTCACAACATCACCTTCTTAGGATTAATTGTTTATGTATTAGAAAACAAATCGAGCCAGCCGGGGATAAAAATAAAGTGGAATTGTGGCGCTAACAGCTCCCCAGAGGGAGAGAAAAGTGATTATTGAGTTAAATGGCTGCATTGTTAACAACTGCCACACAGAGCAGCTCGCTCAGAAAGGCCCGTTTTTCACCGCCAATTTACTGACAGCGAAACCTGAGCAAATGAACTCCTACTAAATTAAGGCTTCTCCCAAAAATTTCCTTGCAGTTTGCTCCCTTTTCATCTTCTCCCCTCGCTGGACGAGCCCTGTGTAATGAACTCTCAGTTGCCACAACTTCGCGATGTGGCAGCAGCTTTTGGGAGTGTTCGAGCTCTGCCAGCAAAACAAGGAGCAGGACAGGGGGAAAAATTAAATTAAGCACTGCCATCAGAAGAAAAACAAGTGTTAAATAATCTGGTGTTCAGGTCAACAGCCTTCATGTAAACCCTCTGTCCTACTTTCCCCCGGATGCTTTTTCACAGCTGCAAATTACTTTAATCTCTCTATTTATCCCCCTGTGGTGCTAAAAATACTCTCAAAACAGACAATAGCAAAGTGTGCGGCAACTGCAGCAATACCCCACATGCTCTGGTGGGAGAAAAAACGGACTTTCAGAAGAACTTCCCTTTGAGTAATGCTGTTCTAAAATCCTGAAAAGAACTGGGTACCGCTGTCATTACCTGGTGGTACTTCTGTGTCGTGCATGGAAAAGTAAAGCATTTAAATTAGCAGCTGACCGTAGAGCTGACAAAAAGTTTAGAACCTTGAAAAGCGTATGTTGAGTTACAAACAAATACAGAGACTGCAGGGAAGGGGAAGTAATTGCTGGGGAGAAGTTATAAATAGAGTGATAGAGAAATTACATAAATAAATGAGTGGTAGCCAGCTCCCTCAGGATGAAATGAGGTATTCCATGGAGAAACCATGAGCATTCTGCTCTCTCTTTGTAGTATTCCTAATTTTACGTTGGGAATAACACAAAGCAGCAGCAGCGGCGCAAATCGGGTAGGAACTGACCACATTTCCTCTTGACTTGTGCCTTTCCTATTTCCTAGTCCAGCGATCAATTAAGAAAATGAGTTTTTTTAAAAACAAGCCAACAACCTGCACAGTGATTTTTCGGGATGTTTAACAAAAGGCTGCTGTATAAACGCAGTAGTCTTTGAAAAATAATCGGAGACGGGAGGTATTTGCATCCTAAAAGTTATGGAGAGAGCACCACCTGATGGAAGATGCGGAAAGACACCGATGGCATTAGCTGGAGCCGCTCCAAACTTCACGGAATTTTCAGGGACAAAGTGCACCTGCAAAATTTTGCTTTTACCATTCAAAAAAAAAAAAAAAAAAAAAAACCAAACCCAAACCAAAATCGGCTACAGGGACACAGTCCAGACCGATACACTTCACAGCAGATATTTATTTTAAGAGTAGAAGGCTTTCTCCTAATTTCAGTACTATAGGCAGCTCAGAAAGCAGTTGTTAAAATCAGTGTCTCTTACTTTGTATGGCAGGACGCACACTCATATAGGAGGGAGAAGGGGATTCTAATGATTTTTAAAAACCTCTCACAGTTACTCTTTCCACTGAACTGATAATTAAAATATTTCGTGGCTCTCCTAAAAATAATTGAAATACGTTAACTTTTCATGTGTTTAGCTCATATTACATTATCTCCCTCAAATACAAAGTGTCTTCTGCCCCCTTAAAACTTTGCTATTTCCCAGAACACTCTTCCTTCCAAGCATCTGGCTAAATGATTCATCAAAAGCCCAGGATCTAATCACAATTGATATGACAAGTGTCAAGAACACGAAAACAGTTGGGGGGGGGGGGGGGGGGGGGGGGGGGAATAAATAGCTCCACATATTGCTTACTCAAGGAAGCAGTTATTTAACTAGGTTAGATTTCCCAGCCTCTCTAATAAATCTGTGCTTTGTGCAGTTGCCTAGCAATGTAAACACGATCCCGGTGGTGTCAAAGCCAGCGGGGTTGATGACAGCAGCTCCTCGGGCCAGGGTCTGCCCGGCCCTTGCCAGCCAGCCCCGTCCCTGAGCCCAGCCTGAGCCCAAGGGCTCGGGGCAAGGTGGGCACGGGGCTCAGCATCTCCAACACGCCACTACTGCTGCTCTAAAACAGCGAGACAGAGTCATCCGAGCTGCTGCTTCGAGTCACAAAAACCTTCTTGTGTGTGAGATGAACTCAACTTAGTTTCGTGCCTCCAGCACGCCTAAGTCACAGGCAGTGAGATGTATCCCCACGTTAAGCGACACAACACAGGGAAATTTTACTCATCTTAAACATACAGGTAGTTTTAAAATACTTTTTTTTTCCTAAGTCAAGAGAGAAGAAAGCTATAACTGCTTGTCTTTTAGCATGAGCACAAACTGCAGTGAGAAAATTAATGTAATGCAAGATCCAGGAGCAAAACAAGACCCATGTAGCTTTGGATTACCTACAGAATAGCACAGGAAGAGAAAGCCAGCTCTATAAGCACCTGTCATCTTCAAGTAATTCAAACTATGCCTAAAGGAACTCGTAGGAGTGGGAAAATAGCTGGCTACTATTACTGTACACATGTCAGGGAGCAAAGTACTCCTTAATATCAGCGACAGAGAAAGTGACAATCGGGAAGGAGCCGACCCGAGTGCCTGAGCCCCCGAGAAAGTTCCTGGAGCTGTGGCATGCAGCTGCCACTAAACATCCCAGGGCAAGCCCAGACCCCTTCCCCTGACCGGAGGGGAAAGGCAGCGGCTCCCCCCGCGCCGCACATCCCGCGGGAGCCAACTCCTGCCTTGGGCTCGCAAACGCTCTTTACCACCAAAAAACGCCTCGCGTATCGCGAATCCCAGAATAAAGGCGATGCTGTCACCTCTTGCCACACGCAACTTTCGCAGGAGCGAGTCCCCCCAGCCCCGGCAGGACCCCCCGCACGGCCGGGCAGAGCCCCTCGCATCCCATTCCCGGCGCCTCCGCGACCGGCGGGTACCGAGGCTGCTCGCTGTCGATGGCCAGCGCCTTCCGAGGCGTCTCCATGCCCTGCCGCTCCCCGGATGGCACCGGGAGCTCCCCGCGAGGCCGCGGGGCTGGAGGCGCAGAGTTCGGGCTGCCGGGAGAGCCGCCCGCGGCCGGGGTACCGGGGGATACAGGAGTGGGGCACCGGCCGGGCGGGCATCACTCACCTGGGAAGACCTGTCCGTCCGCCCTGGGCAAGAGCTGCAGGAAAAAGACGATCGCGGCCACGCCGGTCATCCTTCCCCGGAGTTCACCTGCCCTCCCCGCTGCCGCGGAGCCGCTGCCTCCCCGCCAGTATCCCCCGCATTGGTGGCTCTGCGCGGCGGCGGCCCCGGCAGCCGGAGCCGCGGTGCTGCTCGGCGGAGCCGCCGGAGTGCCGCTGCCCCGCCGCGGCGGGGGCACCCCCGGCCCCCTCCCCCGGGGAGCGGCTGCCCCCGCGGAGGGCAGGTTTCGGGGCGCTCGGTGCCTATTCAAGCCCGGCTGCGCGCACGCACGGCGCCCCGCGGCAGCGGCTGGAGCGCAGCATCGCGCATCGCAGCCAGGTCTGCCGCTCGTGCCCTGGCTCCGGCGGGGATGGCGAGGCAGCGAGGGGCTGGCGTTAAACGGAGGGCTGGGATTGGGGGTGGGATTGGGGCCGGGAGCGGCGCGGGGATGGGATGGGATGGAGGGAGAGACCCTCTGCTGGAGCCAAGGAGGAGATAGGTCCCCCCGAGCCCTGCCGTTTGATGGGGGGGCTGCTACGAGCAGCTCACGGGCACCTACAGCTGAAAATAGTAATTTCCATCCTTATTCACTTTACTTTCGGGAGTTCACTGCTGAACACCGAGTCACATCGTGCCCTGGGCACTCCTAGGGCTTAGGCACAGGCAGGGAAACAATTCCGGGCACAATTCGAAGAACTGCCGCCGACAGCTAACTTCTTGACCCAAAATGCTAAAAGGAGGGGAGCCCAAGGCTCTGAATAGGGATCACTCAGTCCGGATCAGACACCTGGGCTGGAATTCGCACAGGAAAAGGAGAGCAGTGACCAGGCGGACAGAGCACCTGTGCGGCCACCAGCGCAGCCTCGGGCAGTCACGCAGCAGGGCTGGCACTGCCGGCTGCCGCCGAGCCCTGCCCGCTCCCGGCGCTGCCGCCGCCGCTCCCGCCCGGCCCCGCTGGCGGCTCCGGCCCCGCCGGCCCGCAGGGGGCGGTGTTGGACCGGCGGCGGCTGCGGGCGCTCCGGGGCTGCCCCGGGCACGGCCGCGCTCCAGCTCCGAACCGCGGCGGGAGCGCCGCTGTGCGTCTGAAACAACCGCCTGGCGTTTCATTTTAAATACTACGAGAGCGCCGGAGAGTTATAATTACGGGAGTATTATCGGTGATATTTTTGCCCGACGTCTGGGAGAAATGATGCATCTGACTCCATTGATATCAGGCTAATTAATTACTTTATTATACTATATTATTCTATATTATATTACACTATATTACATTACATCTAAACTAAATCTGCACAAGCACCCAGCTCAACTGCACAGCATCTTGTGACTGTCAGCCGACAGTCTGCACACACACTTGGCCCTGACAGCCAAGGAAACAAAACCCCATCCCTCTGGGTAAACAGTATCCACATTGCATTCTGCTTGGGCACAACACAGGAGCAGCGAATGAGATAAGAATTGTCTTGATCATTCTGTTCTCTGCTTCTCTCAGGTTCAGAGAGTGTGAATCCCACAGAGCATGAAAGTTTCTTAGGGGCCAGGATGTCCTCAGGACTCAGCCTGAAGGGATAACCAGAAATTTCTTCACTGAAAGACTGGTCATGCACTGGAAGAGGTTGGCTTTGGGAGATTTAAAAGGCACGTGCGTGTAGCACTTGGGCATGGGTTGTTGGTGTGCTTGGCACTGCTGGGTCAATGTGCTTAAAAAGGTCTTTTCTAACCTGAACTATGCTATGGTTCTGGAGTAATCACTGAAGAATTGCACGTGGCAGTCCTTGACTGCAAGAGCACAACCCTGGGAGCCAACAGAGACAGCATCAGCTTGCAGCAAATACTTCTCCTCAGCTGTTCACAGCCTGAGCCAGAAATGAGCTTGAGAGGACCCTGTATCTCAACAGAGAAAGGGTTGGGTTGGAAGGACCTTACAGATCATCCAGTGCCACCCCTGCCATGGGCAGGGACACCTTCCACTGTCCCATGGTGCTCCAAGCCTGACCTCAGACATTTCCAGGGGTCCAGGGGCAGCCACAGCTTCCCTGGGCAACCAAATCCTATGCCCAGCCCTAAAACCCCTCCAATCAATGATGTGTGACCCTCTCTTTAGGAGTCAGCATCACTTCAGGAATTGAGGCATGCCTCTATCTTTCATTCAGCACAAGGACAATCACAAATGAGTACAATTGTAGATGAAGGGAGAGCAGAGAACAGAACAACAAGAAGAAAACCTCACTAAATAATCTGCTAGGCAGCAGAAAGGATCCAGCCAGCACAGTAGACATAGAAACCACTGGAATAATTCTTAGATCAGTGCAAATTGCCTGGGCAATATGAACAGAAAGTCTTGAAACACAGGGATGGTGCTGGTAAGAAGTGCATAAAGCAGTATCAAAGAACAGCTGTAAAAAACAAACTCTAAATAAAGTTGTTTTCATATAAATTAAGGAAAGGGAAGAAACAGAAGCAAGTCTGGCATTCATGTTCAGAATGACAAAAAAATTGGCAGACTAAGTGACTTCCTGAGATCCAAGGAGCTCAGGGAGTGAAAAGGAGAGAAACTTAATACTTCTTACAGGGAAGATTTTCAAACCAAGAAGTCTGCATCATCAGCAAGGTGAAGAAGGGTGGGAGGGGAGATCTGGATAGAGAAAAAAGGTTAGAAATAAATTGCCTACAAGAATCTAGGAAAAAACTGACAAGAGACAACTATCTTGGACATCAAATAGTGCAAAGGCAAACATTAGGCTGAACTAAAGTCAGGCTAAAACCTTATGAAGGATTTTCTGAACTAAAAAAGTCTTGTGGAAAAGGAAAACAAAAAATACAAGATGCAGGATGACTGCAGCAAGAACAGGATAAACTAAAATTAGGCAGATGTAAGCACAAAATCCCAAAGTCTGAAATTATTTCAGTTATTGGCAAAGTCAATAGATATTTGTAACTCAGGAGGATTGAAATAGTCTTCCAGACAACAACAGCATCTTTGAGGACTATAGTGGTGGGATGAAATCCAGCTATTAAAAGAAGTTGTAAGGCTGGAGAAGGGAAATGAGAAAACATGCTGCAGATAAGGAATGTGTAATTTAAAAATAAAGAGCCATGCCATCAGTATAACTCATTTACAGCTAAGGGAGCTCCTGAAATTCAAACAGAGCCATAATGTTGGTTCATAAACCATCAAGAAAGACAGGGACAAGTTGTGCTCTAAAACTCAGGTGTTCACCAAGCAGTAACACACACAAAGGCTTTTATAATAGGTGGCTTTGGAGCTGGCATGAAGAATTAAAACCCCTACAAAAGGAATTAGTTAGATTTCTACATTTCCAGGCTAGTATCTATTACATGATATTATTTTCTGAAAATGGTAAAGAAAAGTTCTAAGTCTGATCTCATCCTGCTGTACAACACCACAGCTTATTTTGCTGTTACTAATAACTCTCAAGTGGCTTAAAAAAGAAAACATTGACATAAACTCTGACGTTTTCTTGAGCTTGTTGCTTGAGGCGTCTTGACTCGGTAAAACTGTTCCCTCACTGGGTCAGATGAGACAAAAAAAAAAAGTAAGTCTTTCTTTTCCAGGGACAAGCTGTATTTCTGGTGAGCAGAATGAAGAGCTAAACAACTGAAGGCACTGTCACATTAAGACAGCAGATGCATTTAATCAAAGAAACGCATTAAACAAGCTCAGCTCCCAAAACTGAATCAATAGGTATGTTTTTGAAGTATTTAACAAAAAAGTTAGTATGTAAATACCAATCCAGCCAATCCAGTACGTAAATACCAATTCCAGAATGGGAAGTTAGAGGAACTCCTCCGGTCCCCTGCAGTGTGTACAACATCTCACAGCTCCAGCAGAAAGCTGACTCACAGACACAGCCAGGCTGCCTCTGCTGCAGACATCACAGCTCCTCTGCCTGGAAAGGAGTACTCCACAGCCCATGTGCTTTTCTTGAAGGGTGGGAAAACATCTTTTTGCAGTTCTACAGGATTCTTTGAGGGTACACAAGTCCCCAAAACATAGCTCTCCCTCAAGTCTGGCTCTAGGCAGAGTCCTAGAGGTACAGGAGAAGCTTCATTCCATACACCAGTGGGTCTTTAAAGAGAACCTCAGCTTTGACAAGTTCAATACACACCAAGATCAGTCAGCTCAACACAGCAAACTCTTTTTTCTCCCCTGAGGCAAGCAGTAAATATGTACTCACAAATAAATACACAACTTACAGCTTTCATTACAGAGTTTCTTATTAGGCAGCATCCTGGTTAAAACACAGGATTAATGAGTGAAACTTTTAGGTAAACTTCATTGGGTAGATTAAAAGTTTCCACTTCCTTACATTATGCACTGAAAGTCTGGGTGTAGAATATGATCTGTTGATCTTTTGTTATCATGGTGTTAAGGAAAGGAAACTTAACACCTCAGGTCATTCTCCTGATACCATTTGCAACTTCACCATCTGCCTTCCTGATTACAATTTTTTATTATTAGAAACAAACTGTCTCTCTAGCACTAGTTTCACTTCTTTGTGCAGATTTATCCATTTTTATAGATATATACGTGCACACCCAGGCATGCCATCACCACAGGAAAAATAAACCCACACCACATCTGTGCATAAACTTAACCACTGAGGAGTTAATAATAAGCCAGCTCAGTGAATATCAGGGAAAAGACCTCTGTCCAGTTCTCTGTACCCTGTAAGTGGTGCCTTATCTGTTTTTCCACTCCCACCAAGTAATCAGCAAAATTACAGATAATTATGTGCTCAAATACAGAGCCCAGCTGCTTTTTCCAACCTGGTTACAAGTTGAAATCATTAATCGATGTCACACACATTGGCATTGATCTCTCATGCATTATCCTCATTAATAAGTTTCTTCCTTTCTGAAGATAAAGAAATTAACTACCAGTCATCAATTATTCAGAAATACAAGTTCATCTTTAGACATGAGCACAATGACACCTTCTGGGAAATGCTAAAAGGACCTGGATCTAGCAGTTTATTTTAACAATGCTGGATCATGGAAAAGCAATCTATTAATACCATAGGCAGACACGTAAACAGAAAGGTGGCAAGG